CATGACCTAAAATCTATCATAAGTGTATAACATTCTTACAATTATGTATAACAGAACATTCTGGTAGAAATTAGAGGATAGTAATTCAAAAGGAAGAAGTAATAGTCTACATGAATTCTGCCATAAGTGTTGTATCACTAGAGGCTTCGTACCTTGTCCTGTTTCATTCTTTTTTGTGGTTTAGTGGTTTAATCTTAAATTCATTGCTCAATATCAGGGTTGCGCTTGCTGATGTATGGTTAAGTGATCATAGGTTGTCAAATGAGAGAATTTAGTGGTTGAGTGCGGAACTAATTACTACTGATTCAGATTTCTAATCGTCTAGGAGGGAATGAGCATTACAATGATGATTTAGGCCATGAACTCAGATTTCTATTTCGTTCGTGTATTTTGTATTCTCTAGGCTGCATATTGGGTGCTAAGTAGGAAACTTTTTGGAGAGGTAAAGTGGCTACATTTGTTGGATTGAAAGATTTCCTATTTACAGAAATTTTATTTTCTCAGATAGTTAATGGAATGATTCTTAGAACTGTATTTCAATATTTGAAATTTGTAAGATGGACTTATGCACAGTGGCAGAACTGAAAAAGACAAGCTTGTGGTGTTTGAAAGTGCACATGGTAGACAAAGCTAATTCAAGAAAATAAATTTAATGTAGATTAGCAGGTATCCCGTAGAAATTTAGTCGAGGTGTGCACAAGCTGGCCCGGAACATCACGGGTTATCCAAAAAATAGAAAAAGTATCATTGCAATCTCCTTTTCCTTTTAGACTGCACTGCTGAACATTATTTTTATCTCAATGACTTGTTTTCCTGATACTCCTCTTAATACTTGCATTTTTATTTATTTTTACTTTTTGCTGCAGCCAAGTGATGCCAGCTAGTGGACCCGTTTCACCGAGGGATGCAAGAAGGTCTTCTGGCGCTAGTAATCCCAGTGACAGCCATTGAAATTCATTTTAATTGACGTGGATGTATTAGAACAATGCAATAGCTAGCTAATATAGACGGTTAACTATGTTCTAATTTAGCTTGATGACATATGATATACTCTGTCATAGTGTCTTTACGGTTAATGAAATGTTTGATATTTTACTTAATTTAATATTTTGGTTTAAGCATAAATATTTCAATTGATATTATGGAAATTGTATGGCAAATTGATGATAAAAAATTCAATTCTACAATATATTTAAAATAGATAGGGATAATTAAAAGTCCAAAAGAGAAATTGAATATATCCCGATGTGTACACATAAGAAATTGCGGGGGTTTACAAACCCCACCCTCAAAAAAAAAATTTTAAAAATAAAAATCTATATTCGCGCACGAAATTGCGGAGGTTAAAAATTACAATTTGCGGAGGTTAAACACCTCCGCTATTTGCTGTCACGGCGGTTCGGGAAACCCCACATTTGTCTGCCGCCAAATTAATAGCGGCGATGCATACTGGGGGGCTTGCTCAATCGCCGTGACAGCAAATAGCGGAGGTTCCTAACCCCCGCAAACTGCAATTTTAACCTCCGCAATTTACCCGTTTTTTTGTAGTGACAGTTGTGGACCTCGAAGAGTGCTTAACACCTTCTCTTCGAGGTAATTTGAGCCCTTACCTGATCTTTGGTGACGCAAACTGGTTAAACCTGAGTTATTTGCAAATAGGTGCCCTAACGCACCTCAAACCCGTTAGGTGGCGACTCTCTCTTTTAACACCTTCCTTAAAAGAATTATCACGTGTCGAAACCTGATTTCGCGAGAAAAAGAGGGCGCGACAATATATATATATATATATATATATATATATATATATATATATATATATATATATATATATAATATATATATATTATATATATATA